CTCTGGTCTCGACGGTTGATCCCGACCGAGGCGCGACCGAGGCCGTCTCTGCTCCCGAAGGTTGATCCCGACCTTGGCCCGACCAAGGCTGTCTCCGGTCCCGAAGGTTGCCCCGACTCAGCGCCTCTCCGACCGTCTTCGCTGCCCGACCACACTCCCGCCCGAGGCCCAGGGTTCGTGGTTGTCACTGGTCCCGACGGTTTGTCCCGACTCGGTGCCACCACTTTTCTCCCCGACCCCGCCAACCCCCAGTCGGTGCCCCGACGCCAGAACACTTCCCGACTGGGGCCCAGGTGTCGCGGCGGTCACTGACCCCGACGTTTTGTCATCCCGACACGACGCCCCGCTACTCCGCCCGACCCTGACGCCAGACCACCCTCCTGGTCCTGCCACTGTGTCTCCCGACCCAGAAGCCCCCAGACGCGGGTTCAGTGCCTGAACTGTGTCTGACTGGGTCGTCTGTTGATTCTCTGCGCCCGGCTGTTGATTCTCTGGCCCTGGCAGCAGCACCCCATCCTTTACCACCGTCTCCGATGACAGCCGCCGACTCCTTCCGGAGCTAGGGTTCTGCCGTGGAATTGCCGGATATGGCCGCTCAGGCTGCTGCCGGCCGCCAGCAACCTCCCCAAACTGATGGTTCGGTACGCCTCACCACTGCTACTAACCATCTCCATTCCCACAAGTCTTTTGCCAATGCTGTAACCTCCGGACTCAACTCCGAGATTCCTGAGGACAGTCCTTACTCTTTTCTGGCGGAGCCTCGTCCGACTGCTATTGGACAATGGATTTCTACTGCTGGACAGCCGCGCCTTGCTTTTACTGCTGACGAAACAGCAAGGTACACAGCCTCGCACCCGTACATTCTTATCGGTAAATTCTCTCATGGGTACTCTTCTTGGAAAGATCTTACCGAAGGTTTTGCGAGTTTCTGTTTGGCGGGGAAGTTTGTTTTGCAGCATCTTAATCACCGCCATATTGTGATTCGCCTCACTACCGAGGCTGATTATATGCGACTTTGGATTCGTGGAACTTGGTTCATCAAAGGATTCCCGATGAGAGTTCTCAAATGGACCCCCGATTTCAAAACTACCGAGGAACCCCCACATGTTCCGGTGTGGGTTACGCTCCCACTACTTCCTCTCCACATGTATCACAGAGATCTTTTATTTACGGTTGCTGCTGGCATTGGGACCCCTCTGAAGGTTGATACCCCTACGGCGACTCGGAGTCGGTGCTCCCACGCCAGAGTCTGTGTGGAAATTGACCTTACGAAGCCCCTCCTGCATGCCTTCGAGATTGATGTGGGTACTGGTGTGCTCGAGCAGAAGGTCATCTATGAGCGTCTACCTAGTTTCTGCTCACTCTGCCGCCATCTCGGACATAAAGCAGAGGCTTGTTTACGCAGACCTTCTTCGCAGCCGGTACCAGCGACCGTATCAGCTGCGCAGGATCCTCCTGCTGCGCCTTCTGGTCGCCATGACTCGGTGCATGGCCCTTCTGAGATCTCTGCGGCCCCTGCCTCTGGTGATATCATGGAATCCCGGCCCCCCACTGCTCGACGCCGTCGTCGGCGCCGCAATCGAAATCGGGGTACGCCTTCTACTGGTATCACTAATGATTCTGGCTCCTTGCAGGCTCCTCTTCGGCCCCTCCGCCAGGACCCCCAGCCTTCTACCCGGAGACCTTCTGATGACATACCGGAGTTGAACGGTTCCAGACGCCTTCGTTCAGGTGTGCGGGTGTCCTTTGGGGAGACACAAGTGGCCCCAAATCCATCACAGACGGCCAGGAATTCACAGCAGGTAATACCGGCGTATCTCAGCGGCCCTGCGGAGGCTCATCGCCCCCACGCTCCTCCTCGGGTGACCTTTGCCCACTCACGGGGGGATGCCTCTGCGATCCTGCTTACCTCTGGTGTTCGAGTTACTTTTGGGGACTTCCGGGCGCCTTCGGAAACCTCTCCGGCCCGCCCTCTGGCTGGACAGACTACAGCTGAGCCCCCGATCGACAGTCCTGCTTCCCCGCTGGACGACTGTCGGCTGAGTCCCACTCCAGCGACTCCTGCCACCGCTCCAGCCCTCGGTCTCCTTCTGCAGCCCCCTTTGGACGATCAGGTACCCTCGCCGCCTTTACCACTGCTTCCTGATGATATGCAGGTACCCCCGGAGCCTGTGTCGCTTCCTCCTGCTCAGTCTTTGGCAATCTGGGGACTCCCCTCTGGTCATGGCCTGGATAAGGGGAAGGCAGTGCTGCTCTCGGACCCCCCTGCATCACCTATCTGCGATCGACGTGATCTTTCAGTGGACACATGCCTATCGGCCACGGGTTCTCCTTCCTCGGACACCCAGCGGGATGAGGACTCTGCACTTCACGCCACTTTCGCCGAGGACTCGGATGGTGACTCGCCCCTTATTAAGGATGGCCAACCGCCCCTCCTTGATTCACTGTCTCTCTCCCCGAGAGGTACCACTGATTTTCACTCTTGTGATCTCCCTGCTGATGCAACTACAGGGACAGAGCTCCTCCCTGAATCTGGTCCGAACCCACCCCTCCTGCGGACTTCATCGGAACCGCTCCCTGTTGTCGCTCTGTCGACGGAGTCGCATCCGAGCAGAGGGGTGTGCGTTTTGAACCAGGCTGCTGATCCTCCGTCTCTCAGCGGATCTTTGGAGACAGTGTCGGATGACCGGCCACAGGCTCTGCCGCCAACCTTCTCTAGACCGATCACCCGCAGCATCTCTCGTCAGCAAGTAAGTTCCTCTCGTCGCCCTTCTGCTAGTACTCGATGACAGACACCTACATTCTGGTCTGGAATGTTCGAGGAATTGGTAACCCCAGGGCTCAACGGGAGGTACATTGGCTTTGTAAGCAACACCGTATCCGCCTTCTCATCATCCTTGAACCTATGGTTCTGGCGGACACTGCTTTCTTCTGCCGGCGGTTTGGTTTCTCTCAGATGCTAACCAACACGGCTAATTCTATCTGGATTCTTGCTGATGATTCTTATACACTGGCGCCTATATCGGAGATCGATCAGTGTCTTCATGTGCAGGTATCATCTCCACAGATTCGCCGGCCTTTTCTTTTATCTGGCATATATGCGAGGTGCTCTATCACCCAGCGCCGCGAGCTTTGGTCTTTCTTACATGACACCGCGGTTTCGTCATTGGGATCCCCCTGGCTGATTGGCGGTGATTTTAATGCCATCGCCGATATATCTGAACGGAAGGGCCCGGGTCGGCCTAAATTGCGCTCTATTCAGGATTTCTCGACCGCAATCCTCGATGCGAACCTCATTGATGCTGGTTTCGAGGGCCCCCCGCACACATGGACCAATCGGCGGGTTTGGGAGCGCCTTGATCGCATTCTTTACAGCTCTGCCTGGGAGGATTTTGCGGAGACAACTCGAGTCAGGCACTTACCGCGGATGCATTCGGACCACGCCCCGCTCTTGATCCGGTTCTCGCATGAACGGCACCGCCTAGCCTCTGCATTCCGGTTTCAGAACATGTGGACTAGACACCACACTTTTCAGGACCACGTCCGCCAGAGTTGGGCTGTCCCGACGGGCACCACCGGTCTCCTCAACCTGCGATTGAAACTCGGACGCCTCAAGCAGGCTCTGAAGTGGTGGAACAAACAGGTATTTGGTAATGTGTTTCAGGTACTTGCAGCAGCAGAGAAAGATGCTGAGGAGTGCGAAGCGGATTTCGATCGGGATCCCTCTGACGCCAACCTCCTCCGTCGTCAACGGAGCGCAGCAGCCTTGACACATGCGATTTCTCTTGAGGAGGCCTTCTGGAAACAAAAAGCAGCATGTCGTTGGGCAGTTGAGGGAGAGCGAAACTCCAGAATGTTCCACTCCATGGTGAAGGAACGGCGTCGGCGGGCTACGCTTTTCTCGATGAGGGACGGTGCTCGTACCCTCACTGATCACTCAGCCATTAAGCAGTCAGCTATTACCTACTTCTCCGAGATGTTTGGACAGCCTGACGATGCAGACACCTCGGGGATGGATGCACTGGCGGACCCTCCGCCTCAGGTTCCTTTGGCTGAATGTGCTCGGTTGCTGGAACCACCAACACTTGCGGAGGTTCGTGCTGTGGTTTTCTCGATTGACAAGGACAGTGTGGCTGGCCCTGATGGCTTTTCCGCCGCTTTCTATCAAACGTGTTGGGATATTATTCACGAGGATGTTTTCGATGCTGTTCTGGATTTCTTCTCGGGAGCTCCTCTTCTGAAGTTCTATACGGCAACGACACTTGTGCTTATCCCCAAGACGGACGGGCCAGTCGCTTGGGCTGATTTTCGGCCTATCAGCCTCTGTAATGTGAGTTCTAAGATCTTCACGAAGTTACTCACTGTGCGACTTGGTCCGCTACTGCCGCAGCTTCTGTCGCCACACCAGAGTGGTTTTGTCAAAGGTCGGGCAATTGCAGACAATATTTTGCTGGCATCGGAAATGGTACATGATCTCAATTTGAGGGGGGACTCGCACAATTTGCTGCTGAAACTGGATTTGAATAAGGCATACGATCGGGTATCGTGGCGGTTCTTGCGACATGCCCTTACCAGGTTCGGTTTCCCGCCTCATTTCATCACCTTGATTATGAATTGTGTCGAGCATGCTTGGTACTCGATTCTTGTGAATGGGGACTTGGGCGGTTTCTTCCCCTCCTCGCGAGGCCTCAGGCAGGGAGACCCCCTGTCCCCGACCCTCTTTGTTTTGGCTGCAGATCTCTTATCTCGCGGCTTGGAGCGCCTATACAATCGGTACCCGGACCTGTACTATCGGTGTCGTGGTCGGTTCCGATTGACGCACCTAGCCTATGCGGATGATGTTCTCATCTTTGCCAATACCCGTGGTGATCGAATCAGCCTCTTGACGGATTTTCTGACGACGTATGCGCGAACAACTGGCCAGATGGTGAACTGTCAGAAAAGTCAGCTGGTATTTAGCCGCCGATGCCCGGAGAGGGTCCAGCGACAGCTTCAGTCCGTCACTGGTTTCGGCAGGGTTGGACTTCCCCTTACGTACCTCGGCGCCCCGCTCTATGTGGGCAATCGGCGTAATATCCTCTACGAAGACCTACTTGGGAAACTGCGGCGATATCTGCAGCGTTGGGACCGCTCCGTTCTCTCTCACGGAGGTCGTTTGCAACTGATCAGAAGCACGCTCTTCTCGCTTCCCCTTTACCTCCTACAGGTCCTTAACCCCCCCCAGGCTGTCCTACACTCAGTGGAGCAGCTCTGTGCTCGTTTCTTCTGGGGCTCCTATCATGGCCACCGTCGCCGCCATTGGATTTCCTGGATGGATGCGGCGAGGCCCCAGGACGAGGGCGGGATTGGTATTCGCCGCCTGTCCGATATGGTTCGCGCCTTCTCGCTTAAATTGTGGTGGCGTCTCAGAGATGGTTCCTCTCTTTGGGCTCGCGCGCTCCAGCATAAATATTTCCGCAGCTCCTTCCCGGGTCTCGCCCCCTGCCGGAACTACGACAGCCCGGTCTGGAAACGTCTTTGCCAGATCCGCGATGAGGCACAGACGCAGATCACTTGGAACTTGGGGCGTGGGGACTGTTTCTTCTGGTATGATACTTGGTGCGGCGATCGCCCTCTCTGCACTGACCGCCGGGACCGCCCTCCGCCGATTCGGGTGAAAGAGATGTGGGTTAACGGGTCGTGGGATTTGACGCGCCTTCAGGCCTACCTTCCGGCATCCCTTGTTCAGCGGGTCTCTGCGATTCCTTTTGACCCCCTGATAGCGGATCAGCCGATATGGAAGGCTTCGGACACAGGTACTTTTACTACTACCTCAGCCTGGGAGATGAGCCGGACAGCCGGGGCTCGGAGTTGGCTTTCCTGCTGCCTCTGGTCGCCACTACTTACGCCTACGATGTCGGTATTCCTATGGCGTTTATTTCGCCGTCGGATACCTGTTGACGAGGCCCTTTGGAGGCTGGGTCTCCCTATTGTTTCTCGCTGCCAGTGCTGCAGTGAATCCGAGACTTTTGCACACTTATTCTTCTCGTCGGCGGTTGCCCAGCGCGTGTGGCGCCATCTTGCCGACCTATTCCGTATCCGAACCCCGCGGACACATGCGCCCCACCTGATGGTCTCTGCTTGGCGTCTGTCCTCCCCACATGCGCGGAGCATCCGTACCTATATCCCACTTCTGGCCTTCTGGTTTCTTTGGACGGCACGGAATGACGCCAAACACCGAGGTATCCAGATTTCCTCTGACAGGATTATTTGGCGTATTCACTCTCATTTGCAGGTGTTGGGCCGTGCTGGCCTCCTTCAGCGACAGCACTGGCCTGGGGAGGTGCACTTAGCCTCCACTCTCGGCCTTCGCCTCCCGCCTCCGGTTCTTCGGCCGCCGGTCATGGTACGCTGGGAAGCCCCGTCTCCAGGCTGGTTCAAACTCAACACTGATGGGGCATCGCTCGGGAATCCAGGCGCCGCTGGAGCCGCGGGCGTCATTCGGGATGCCACCGGCGCCCCAATTGTGGCATTCCAAGTTCCCCTTTTGAATACGACGAACACTTTGGCCGAACTGCAGGCGATTCGATCTGGAGTGGACCTGGCGGTTGCCCGCGGCCTCCTCCCTCTCTGGATCGAGACGGACTCGGCCAGCAGTATCTCTCTCATCTCCTCCTCGACGGGACACTGGACTCTCCAGCCTTGTCTCCACCACCTGCGCCTACAGCTTCGCAGCATCGAGTGGAGGATCTCTCATATTTTCCGCGAGGGCAATAAAGTGGCGGACAACTTGGCGAACACCTCTGTTGCCCTTCCTCATATGCGGATCCTTGAGCCGGCGGACATCCCAGCGAGGACCCGTGGCCTCATCCATGCTGACGCGGCGGGCCTTCCGTGCTTTCGCTTCCGTTAGCTTTTATTTGCTTACACTCTTTATTTACATTTGCAGCACTTGTACCGAACTTTGCAGAACTACGTATGGCTTGATCCCGTTGGGGTACGTAGGCAGCTCTTTGAGCCCAGCCAAAAAAAAAAAAAAAAAAAAAAAAAAAAAAAAAAAAAAAAAAAAACCCTAACCCTAAACCCTAAAACCTAAACCCTAACCCTAAACCCTAAACCCTAAACCCTAAACCCTAAACCCTAAACCCTAAACCCTAACCCTAAACCCTAACCCTAACCCTAAACCCTAACCCTAAACCCTAAACCCTAAACCCTAAACCCTAAACCCTAACCCTAAACCTAAACCCTAAACCCTAACCTAAACCCTAAACCCTAAAACCCTAAACCCTAAACCTAAACCCTAAACCCTAAACCCTAAACCCTAAACCCTAACCCCTAAACCCCAGCCACTGCCGTCGCTGTTCCGGCGGATCCAGACGCCGGACGGCCAATCTGCCACCGTCACTCGACTCGCCATCCCCGAAAACCCCCCCTACACCGAGCCCCGTCGCCGGAAACCGCCCCCAGCCGCCGCTCTCGTCAGCCCCGAAACGACGTCACCGGCGAACTCGCCGCTGCCGGCGTTTTCAGCCCGGCGCCTCATCACCATCGTGGTCGCCATCCTCCATAACCCCCGTCCCCACCCAACCACCGCCGGAAATCGCTGCAGCACCGTCGGCCGCTACTGCCCTGCGCGGCGATACTTTCAGCGCCGGTATCTCTCAACACCGGCGTTGGATCGCCGTTTGGCCACCGTCACTGAACTCGCAGGGCTGAGGTGTCCCCGAATCCACCCCTCGATCGCCGGAATACGCCGCCGGCTCCGCCCCTGACGGTTGGCCTCCCGCACCGTCGCCACCGCGTTTCGGCATCCCCCCGCCGTCGGACCACCATTCTGACGACGGGATCGTGTTCCCCTGGCCGGAAAACCCCCAGGGCCGGGCTACCGCCGCGAGTCGCCACCTCTACACCACTGTCCGCCGTTTGCCCTAGGTCGCCGTCGCCGTAGCCCTGATTTGCGACACCTTCGGCGCCGCCGTTCTCCCGTCTCCGACGTCGGATCGTCAATCGGCCACCGTCACTGTCCTCGCAGGGTTGAGGAGTCCCTGAACCCGCCACCCGACCGCCGGAATACACCGTTGGGAACCGCCGGTGACTCCCCCGACGGTTGCCCTCCTCCCGACGGTTGACCTCCCGACAGTTGATCTCCCGACGGTTGGCCTCCTGACGGTTGAGTTCCCGAGACGCCGCCTCTGCATATTCCGCCGACTCCGCTGCCCGACCAACTCTCTGGTCCCGATACTGTTCCACCCGACCCCGACATACACCTTGGTCGGTGCTCCTTGACGCCAGAGCATCCCCCGACTGAGGCCCAGGGATCGCGACTGCTGTTTCTCCCGACGGGTGATCTCCCGACCGAGTCCCGACCGAGGCCGTCTCTGGTCCCGTAGGTTGCTCCCGACCGAGGCCCGACCGAGGCCGTCTCTGGTCCCGACGGTTGATCCCGATCGAGGCCCGACCGAGGCCGTCTCTGGTCCCGAAGGTTGATCCCGACCGAGGCCCGACCGAGGTCGTCTCTGGTCTCGAAGGTTGATCCCGACCGAGGCGCGACCGAGGCCGTCTCTGCTCCCGAAGGTTGATCCCGACCTTGGCCCGACCAAGGCTGTCTCCGGTCCCGAAGGTTGCCCCGACTCAGCGCCTCTCCGACCGTCTTCGCTGCCCGACCACACTCCCGCCCGAGGCCCAGGGTTCGTGGTTGTCACTGGTCCCGACGGTTTGTCCCGACTCGGTGCCACCACTTTTCTCCCCGACCCCGCCAACCCCCAGTCGGTGCCCCGACGCCAGAACACTTCCCGACTGGGGCCCAGGTGTCGCGGCGGTCACTGACCCCGACGTTTTGTCATCCCGACACGACGCCCCGCTACTCCGCCCGACCCTGACGCCAGACCACCCTCCTGGTCCCGCCACTGTGTCTCCCGACCCAGAAGCCCCCAGACGCGGGTTCAGTGCCTGAACTGTGTCTGACGGCCTGTTGATTCTCTGGCCCTGGCAGCCCCAGCACCCCATCCTTTACCACCGTCTCCGATGACAGCCGCCGACTCCTTCCGGAGCTAGGGTTCTGCCGTGGAATTGCCGGATATGGCCGCTCAGGCTGCTGCCGGCCGCCAGCAACCTCCCCAAACTGATGGTTCGGTACGCCTCACCTCTGCTACTAACCATCTCCATTCCCACAAGTCTTTTGCCAATGCTGTCACCTCCGGACCCAACTCCGAGATTCCTGAGGACAGTCCTTACTCTTTTCTGGCGGAGCCTCGTCCGACTGCTATTGGACAATGGATTTCTACTGCTGGACAGCCGCGCCTTGCTTTTACTGCTGACGAAACAGCAAGGTACACAGCCTCGCACCCGTACATTCTTATCGGTAAATTCTCTCATGGGTACTCTTCTTGGAAAGATCTTACCGAAGGGTTTGCGAGTTTCTGTTTGGCGGGGAAGTTTGTTTTGCAGCATCTTAATCACCGCCATATTGTGATTCGCCTCACTACCGAGGCTGATTATATGCGACTTTGGATTCGAGGAACTTGGTTCATCAAAGGATTCCCGATGAGAGTTCTCAAATGGACCCCCGATTTCAAAACTACCGAGGAACCCCCACATGTTCCGGTGTGGGTTACGCTCCCACTACTTCCTCTCCACATGTATCACAGAGATCTTTTATTTCACGGTTGCTGCTGGCATTGGGACCCCTCTGAAGGTTGATACCCCTACGGCGACTCGGAGTCGGTGCTCCCACGCCAGAGTCTGTGTGGAAATTGACCTTACGAAGCCCCTCCTGCATGCCTTCGAGATTGATGTGGGTACTGGTGTGCTCGAGCAGAAGGTCATCTATGAGCGTCTACCTAGTTTCTGCTCACTCTGCCGCCATCTCGGACATAAAGCAGAGGCTTGTTTACGCAGACCTTCTTCGCAGCCGGTACCAGCGACCGTATCAGCTGCGCAGGATCCTCCTGCTGCGCCTTCTGGTCGCCATGACTCGGTGCATGGCCCTTCTGAGATCTCTGCGGCCCCTGCCTCTGGTGATATCATGGAATCCCGGCCCCCCACTGCTCGACGCCGTCGTCGGCGCCGCAATCGAAATCGGGGTACGCCTTCTACTGGTATCACTAATGATTCTGGCTCCTTGCAGGCTCCTCTTCGGCCCCTCCGCCAGGACCCCCAGCCTTCTACCCGGAGACCTTCTGATGACATACCGGAGTTGAACGGTTCCAGACGCCTTCGTTCAGGTGTGCGGGTGTCCTTTGGGGAGACACAAGTGGCCCCAAATCCATCACAGACGGCCAGGAATTCACAGCAGGTAATACCGGCGCATCTCAGCGGCCCTGCGGAGGCTCATCGCCCCCACGCTCCTCCTCGGGTGACCTTTGCCCACTCACGGGGGGATGCCTCTGCGATCCTGCTTACCTCTGGTGTTCGAGTTACTTTTGGGGACTTCCGGGCGCCTTCGGAAACCTCTCCGGTCCGCCCTCTGGCTGGACAGACTACAGCTGAGCCCCCGATCGACAGTCCTGCTTCCCCGCTGGACGACTGTCGGCTGAGTCCCACTCCAGCGACTCCTGCCACCGCTCCAGCCCTCGGTCTCTTTCTGCAGCCCCCTTTGGACGATCAGGTACCCTCGCCGCCTTTACCACTGCTTCCTGATGATATGCAGGTACCCCCGGAGCCTGTGTCGCTTCCTCCTGCTCAGTCTTTGGCAATCTGGGGACTCCCCTCTGGTCATGGCCTGGATAAGGGGAAGGCAGTGCTGCTCTCGGACCCCCCTGCATCACCTATCTGCGATCGACGTGATCTTTCAGTGGACACATGCCTATCGGCCACGGGTTCTCCTTCCTCGGACACCCAGCGGGATGAGGACTCTGCACTTCATGCCACTTTCGCCGAGGACTCGGATGGTGACTCGCCCCTTATTAAGGATGGCCAACCGCCCCTCATTGATTCACTGTCTCTCTCCCCGAGAGGTACCACTGATCTTCACTCTTGTGATCTCCCTGCTGATGCAACTACAGGGACAGAGCTCCTCCCTGAATCTGGTCCGAACCCACCCCTCCTGCGGACTTCGTCGGAACCGCTCCCTGTTGTCGCTCTGTCGACGGAGTCGCATCCGAGCAGAGGGGTGTGCGTTTTGAACCAGGCTGCTGATCCTCCGTCTCTCAGCGGATCTTGGAGACAGTGTCGGATGACCGGCCACAGGCTCTGCCGCCAACCTTCTCTAGGCCGATCACCCGCAGCATCTCTCGTCAGCAAGTAAGTTCCTCTCGTCGCCCTTCTGCTAGTACTCGATGACAGACACCTACATTCTGGTCTGGAATGTTCGAGGAATTGGTAACCCCAGGGCTCAACGGGAGGTACATTGGCTTTGTAAGCAACACCGTATCCGCCTTCTCATCATCCTTGAACCCATGGTTCTGGCGGACACTGCTTTCTTCTGCCGGCGGTTTGGTTTCTCTCAGATGCTAACCAACACGGCTAATTCTATCTGGATTCTTGCTGATGATTCTTATACACTGGCGCCTATATCGGAGATCGATCAGTGTCTTCATGTGCAGGTATCATCTCCACAGATTCGCCGGCCTTTTCTTTATCTGGCATATATGCGAGGTGTTCTATCACCCAGCGCCGCGAGCTTTGGTCTTTCTTACATGACACCGCGATTTCGTCACTGGGATCCCCCTGGCTGATTGGCGGTGATTTTAATGCCATCGCCGATATATCTGAACGGAAGGGCCCGGGTCGGCCTAAATTGCGCTCTATTCAGGATTTCTCGACCGCAATCCTCGATGCGAACCTCATTGATGCTGGTTTCGAGGGCCCCCCGCACACATGGACCAATCGGCGGGTTTGGGAGCGCCTTGATCGCATTCTTTACAGCTCTGCCTGGGAGGATTTTGCGGAGACAACTCGAGTCAGGCACTTACCGCGGATGCATTCGGACCACGCCCCGCTCTTGGTCCGTTTCTCGCATGAACGGCACCGCCTAGCCTCTGCATTCCGGTTTCAGAACATGTGGACTAGACACCACTCTTTTCAGGACCACGTCCGCCAGAGTTGGGCTGTCCCGACGGGCACCACCGGTCTCCTCAACCTGCGATTGAAACTCGGACGCCTCAAGCAGGCTCTGAAGTGGTGGAACAAACAGGTATTTGGTAATGTGTTTCAGGTACTTGCAGCAGCAGAGAAAGATGCTGAGGAGTGCGAAGCGGATTTCGATCGGGATCCCTCTGACGCCAACCTCCTCCGTCGTCAACGGAGCGCAGCAGCCTTGACACATGCGATTTCTCTTGAGGAGGCCTTCTGGAAACAAAAAGCAGCATGTCGTTGGGCAGTTGAGGGAGAGCGAAACTCCAGAATGTTCCACTCCATGGTGAAGGAACGGCGTCGGCGGGCTACGCTTTTCTCGATGAGGGACGGTGCTCGTACCCTCACTGATCACTCAGCCATTAAGCAGTCAGCTATTACCTACTTCTCCGAGATGTTTGGTCAGCCTGACGATGCAGACACCTCGGGGATGGATGCACTGGCGGACCCTCCGCCTCAGGTTCCTTTGCTGAATGTGCTCGGTTGCTGGAACCCCCAACACTTGCGGAGGTTCGTGCTGTGGTTTTCTCGATTGACAAGGACAGTGTGGCTGGCCCTGATGGCTTTTCCGCCGCTTTCTATCAAACGTGTTGGGATATTATTCACGAGGATGTTTTCGATGCTGTTCTGGATTTCTTCTCGGGAGCTCCTCTTCTGAAGTTCTATACGGCAACGACACTTGTGCTTATCCCCAAGACGGACGGGCCAGTCGCTTGGGCTGATTTTCGGCCTATCAGCCTCTGTAATGTGAGTTCTAAGATCTTCACGAAGTTACTCACTGTGCGACTTGGTCCGCTACTGCCGCAGCTTCTGTCGCCACACCAGAGTGGTTTTGTCAAAGGTCGGGCAATTGCAGACAATATTTTGCTGGCATCGGAAATGGTACATGATCTCAATTTGAGGGGGGACTCGCACAATTTGCTGCTGAAACTGGATTTGAATAAGGCATACGATCGGGTATCGTGGCGGTTCTTGCGACATGCCCTTACCAGGTTCGGTTTTCCCGCCTCATTTTATCACCTTGATTATGAATTGTGTCGAGCATGCTTGGTACTCGATTCTTGTGAATGGGGACTTGGGCGGTTTCTTCCCCTCCTCGCGAGGCCTCAGGCAGGGAGACCCCCTTGTCCCCGACTCTCTTTGTTTTGGCTGCAGATCTCTTATCTCGCGGCTTGGAGCGCCTATACAATCGGTACCCGGACCTGTACTATCGGTGTCGTGGTCGGTTCCGATTGACGCACCTAGCCTATGCGGATGATGTTCTCATCTTTGCCAATACCCGTGGTGATCGAATCAGCCTCTTGACGGATTTTCTGACGACGTATGCGCGAACTACTGGCCAGATGGTGAACTGTCAGAAAAGTCAGCTTGGTATTTAGCCGCCGATGCCCGGAGAGGGTCCAGCGACAGCTTCAGTCCGTCACTGGTTTCGGCAGGGTTGGACTTCCCCTTACGTACCTCGGCGCCCCGCTCTATGTGGGCAATCGGCGTAATATCCTCTACGAAGACCCTACTTGGGAAACTGCGGCGATATCTGCAGCGTTGGGACCGCTCCGTTCTCTCTCACGGAGGTCGCTTGCAACTGATCAGAAGCACGCTCTTCTCGCTTCCCCTTTACCTCCTACAGGTCCTTAACCCCCCCCAGGCTGTCCTACACTCAGTGGAGCAGCTCTGTGCTCGTTTCTTCTGGGGCTCCTATCATGGCCACCGTCGCCGCCATGGATTTCCTGGATGGATGCGGCGAGGCCCCAGGACGAGGGCGGGCTTGGTATTCGCCGCCTGTCCGACATGGTTCGCGCCTTCTCGCTTAAATTGTGGTGGCGTCTCAGAGATGGTTCCTCTCTTTGGGCTCGCGCGCTCCAGCATAAATATTTCCGCAGCTCCTTCCCGGGTCTCGCCCCCTGCCGGAACTACGACAGCCCGGTCTGGAAACGTCTTTGCCAGATCCGCGATGAGGCACAGACGCAGATCACTTGGAACTTGGGGCGTGGGGACTGTTTCTTCTGTATGATACTTGGTGCGGCGATCGCCCCTCTCTGCACTGACCGCCGGGACCGCCCTCCGCCGATTCGGGTGAAAGAGATGTGGGGGTTTAACGGGTCGTGGGATTTGACGCGCCTTCAGGCCTACCTTCCGGCATCCCTTGTTCAGCGGGTCTCTGCGATCCTTTTGACCCCCTGATAGCGGATCAGCCGATATGGAAGGCTTCGGACACAGGTACTTTTTACTACTACCTCAGCCTGGGAGATGAGCCGGACAGCCGGGGCTCGGAGTTGGCTTTCCTGTGCCTCTGGTCGCCACTACTTACGCCTACGATGTCGGTATTCCTATGGCGTTTATTTCGCCGTCGGATACCTGTTGACGAGGCCCTTTGGAGGCTGGGTCTCCCTATTGTTTCTCGCTGCCAGTGCTGCAGTGAATCCGAGACTTTGCACACTTATTCTTCTCGTCGGCGGTTGCCCAGCGCGTGTGGCGCCATCTTGCCGACCTATTCCGTATCCGAACCCCGCGGACACATGCGCCCCACCTGATGGTCTCGCTTGGCGTCTGTCCTCCCCACATGCGCGGAGCATCCGTACCTATATCCCACTTCTGGCCTTCTGGTTTCTTTGGACGGCACGGAATGACGCCAAACACCGAGGTATCCAGATTTCCTCTGACACAGGATTATTGGCGTATTCACTCTCATTTGCAGGTGTTGGGCCGTGCTGGCCTCCTTCAGCGACAGCACTGGCCTGGGGAGGTGCACTTAGCCTCCACTCTCGGCTTCGCCTCCCGCCTCCGGTTCTTCGGCCGCGGTCATGGTACGCTGGGAAGCCCCGTCTCCAGGCTGGTTCAAACTCAACACTGATGGGGCATCGCTCGGGAATCCAGGCGCCGCTGGAGGCGAAGGCCGAGAGTGGAGGATGCACCCTCCCCAGGCCAGTGCTGTCGCTGAAGGACGCCACACGGCCCAACACCTGCAAATGAGAGTGAATACGCCAAATAATCCTGTCAGAGGAAATCTGGATACCTCGGTTTTGGCGTCATTCCGTGCCGTCCAAAGAACCAGAAGGCCAGAAGTGGGATATAGGTACGGATGCTCCGCGCATGTGGGGAGGACAGACGCCAAGCAGAGACCATCAGGTGGGGCGCATGTGTCCGCGGGGTTCGGATACGGAATAGGTCGGCAAGATGGCGCCACACGCGCTGGGCAACCGCCGACGAGAAGAATAAGTGTGCAAAAGTCTCGGATTCACTGCAGCACTGGCAGCGAAGAAACACGTAGGGAGACCCAGCCTCCAAAGGGCCTCGTCAACAGGTATCCGACGGCGAAATAAACGCCATAGGAATACCGACATCGTAGGCGTAAGTAGTGGCGACCAGAGGCAGCAGGAAAGCCAACTCCGAGCCCCGGCTGTCCGGCTCATCTCCCAGGCTGAGGTAGTAGTAAAAGTACCTGTGTCCGAAGCCTTCCATATCGGCTGATCCGCTATCAGGGGGTCAAACGGGATCGCAGAGACCCGCTGAACAAGGGATGCCGGAAGGTAGGCCTGAAGGCGCGTCAAATCCCACGACCCGTTAACCCACATCTCTTTCACCCGAATCGGCGGAGGGCGGTCCCGGCGGTCAGTGCAGAGAGGGCGATCGCCGCACCAAGTATCATACCAGAAGAAACAGTCCCCACGCCCCAAGTTCCAAGTGATCTGCGTCTGTGCCTCATCGCGGATCTGGCAAAGACGTTTCCAGACCGGGCTGTCGTAGTTCCGGCAGGGGGCGATACCCGGGAAGGAGCTGCGGAAATATTTATGCTGGAGCGCGCGAGCCCAAAGAGAGGAACCATCTCTGAGACGCCACCACAATTTAAGCGAGAAGGCGCGAACCATGTCGGACAGGCGGCGAATACCAAGCCCGCCCTCGTCCTGGGGCCTCGCCGCATCCATCCAGGAAATCCAATGGCGGCGACGGTGGCCATGATAGGAGCCCCAGAAGAAAACGAGCACAGAGCTGCTCCACTGAGTGTAGGACAGCCTGGGGGGGGTTAAGGACCTGTAGGAGGTAAAGGGGAAGCGAGAAGAGCGTGCTTCTGATCAGTTGCAAGCGACCTCCGTGAGAGAGAACGGAGCGGTCCCAACGCTGCAGATATCGCCGCAGTTTCCCAAGTAGGTCTTCGTAGAGGATATTACGCCGATTGCCCACATAGAGCGGGGCGCCGAGGTACGTAAGGGGAAGTCCAACCCTGCCGAAACCAGTGACGGACTGAAGCTGTCGCTGGACCCTCTCCGGGCATCGGCGGCTAAATACCAGCTGACTTTTCTGACAGTTCACCATCTGGCCAGTAGTTCGCGCATACGTCGTCAGAAAATCCGTCAAGAGGCTGATTCGATCACCACGGGTATTGGCAAAGATGAGAACATCATCCGCATAGGCTAGGTGCGTCAATCGGAACCGACCACGACACCGATAGTACAGGTCCGGGTAATTCTATCTGGATTCTTGCTGATGATTCTTATACACTGGCGCCTATATCGGAGATCGATCAGTGTCTTCATGTGCAGGTATCATCTCCACAGATTCGCCGGCCTTTTCTTTTATCTGGCATATATGCGAGGTGTTCTATCACCCAGCGCCGCGAGCTTTGGTCTTTCTTACATGACACCCGCGATTTCGTCACTGGGATCCCCTGGCTGATTGGCGGTGATTTTAATGCCATCGCCGATATATCTGAACGGAAGGGCCCGGGTCGGCCTAAATTGCGCTCTATTCAGGATTTCTCGACCGCAATCCTCGATGCGAACCTCATTGATGCTGGTTTCGAGGGCCCCCCGCACACATGGACCAATCGGCGGGTTTGGGAGCGCCTTGATCGCATTCTTTACAGCTCTGCCTGGGAGGATTTTGCGGAGACAACTCGAGTCAGGCACTTACCGCGGATGCATTCGGACCACGCCCCGCTCTTGGTCCGTTTCTCGCATGAACGGCACCGCCTAGCCTCTGCATTCCGGTTTCAGAACATGTGGACTAGACACCACTCTTTTCAGGACCACGTCCGCCAGAGTTGGGCTGTCCCGACGGGCACCACCGGTCTCCTCAACCTGCGATTGAAACTCGGACGCCTCAAGCAGGCTCTGAAGTGGTGGAACAAACAGGTCTTTGGTAATGTGTTTCAGGTACTTGCAGCAGCAGAGAAAGATGCTGAGGAGTGCGAAGCGGATTTCGATCGGGATCCCTCTGACGCCAACCTCCTCCGTCGTCAACGGAGCGCAGCAGCCTTGACACATGCGATTTCTCTTGAGGAGGCCTTCTGGAAACAAAAAGCAGCATGTCGTTGGGCAGTTGAGGGAGAGCGAAACTCCAGAATGTTCCACTCCATGGTGAAGGAACGGCGTCGGCGGGCTACGCTTTTCTCGATGAGGGACGGTGCTCGTACCCTCACTGATCACTCAGCCATTAAGCAGTCAGCTATTAC